AATATCGGATATCGGCCAAAATCCCAATATCGTGCATCCCTAATTATAATTGAACTTTATTGATCTAACATTGGAGAACTTTACCTCAGCATTTAACCCATCCCCTTTGGGAGCAGTGGACCGCCATTGTGAGGCACCCCGGGAGGCAATCGGGGGTTAAGGGTCTTGCTCAGGAACCAAGAGTGGAGGTAGTTGGATTCAAACCAGATACTTGCAACCTTCTCAGAGCACAGATGCACCGCTCTAGCGACTAGACCAACACTCCCGAACAATCGTTCTGGATTGTGGCTTAATTAACCAAATTAATTTGAACTGGTTCATTTATAGGTTTGTGGACTTAGTACTTTTTTTGTGAATTATGATTGCAAGCTAGTTTATTTTCATCTGTGTGAACTGAACTTTGAGCTCGTTCTTTTTAACTATGAACTGGCACAACATTGTATGTAGTGTTCCAGTAACATCTGAAACCGTTTGAATGCTCTAGATTTCTTTCTGGGTTATTAGAGTAAAATGGGGCTAAATATAGATATTTGCCACACCTTTCAAATAGTCATTGAGGAAAATTGAAAGAGGTATATATTCTTCCACAATTATGCAGCACTATTTATCAATTACCTAAAAAAACAAATAAACTTGTAGCTATAAGGGGAGGTGTGAAAACATTCAAGAGGTGTAAAGCGTGTTCCTATAAAATGTACGGTCTCCATAACAGTTATTATTCATCTTCCAAATTGTATTTTTCTCCTAAAATAGCTGTTGCCAAAACAATTACTGTTATTTGTCTAACAGAAAGAGCAAATGCAAATGCTTAAAGCAGCAAAGTGTGACTGACACAAATTATTTTTCAAAAGAACCACTGGGCACATGCAATGGACTGGAAATAGAACCAGCAATTTTCCCGAAAGAGGAAGACAGACAAAACACTGACAGGAGACTTAAGCCCACAGCTTGCACTGCTAATATAAATACGTGAGGGTGTTAGAGGAATGAGTTACCCTGCTGGCTTTGCCACTCACATAGATGTTGTTCTACAAGGTAGTACAGTGGGCGGCTGAGCAAATGAATACACTGAACTTTTCCCATAGCAGGTTGGTGACCCCCTACATATACGTCATACAGCAAACGTCTGTCTCACCCACGCCCACCCACATGTCCTCTGCTGTAAGAAACAGCCATATGTCTATAGTCACTGTTTTATTTCCCTGTATCCAAAAGACACACAGGAGTGTAAAAGCTGTAGCTTATCCTCCATTTATAGACCACAGAGCTTAAGTTTTTTTTTTTTTTCTCAAGTGCAGTAAAGCAGTGAACCCAATACACAATGAGTGTCTTAAACAAGGATCAAAAGAAACTTGAAGTGCCTGCACACATACACATACAAAATGACAATGGGCATAAAGCTGGGAGAGAAAGGATCAAAGACACAAGCTTTTAATTCCAGTCACAGAGGCAAAGTAAGCATCACACAGAGGTGAATGGAAACCAAATGGTTTGCTGATGATGTTTGGACCAATGTAATAAGAATCCCATCTACGGATGCTGATGCTGTCATGATGGTAGCAACGTTAAGAAATAAAACAAGAGGTGAATGAAGATTATAACCTAAACTGAAGGCCAGTGTTGATTTTATATTAAAGACTGCAATACGATGGAGGAATCTGTGTTCTATGTTGAGTAAGTCAATAGTTGGATAATCATTGTCTACGCAATTACCCAACTGTTCATATTCTAAATATATATGTATATATATATATATATATATATATATATA